CATATGGCCTGCATGTACTGTGATTGAGATAAGGATGGAAGGGCAGAGGGGGGGAGGTTCTCTCCAGCTGCTCAGGCTCATGACTCAGTGGTGGGCCTGAGGAGCCTCACTGACAGCTGATCTCCCCTGCTGGCTGGCCCGATGCTGGATCCAGGACTTCTGTTTTTCTGTTATCCATCTCTCTGAACTTTTCTTCTCCTACTCTCTCTCTCTTTACCTTCCTAACATCATTAAGTAACACAAGGCCTAACCATGACTTTTTCTTAGGTTGTGCAGCTTAAACATACATGTATTGTACTCTTGTGATCTAACTGTCAGCCTTTATGATCATGCAGCCTAAGATAATAATTGAACTATCCAAATTCCTTCTGTAGTTTTAATTAAAACCTAATATTGAAATACAGACCTTGAGTGTTGTTTCACCTTATAGTGATCAAGGCGTATCAGATGCTCGAGCATTTCCTCAGACTATGACATTTTAATCATTCTCTCTGGAAGGGCCAGGTCTGATTCTAAGGTTGGGGGGAGAAGATGTGCTATTCTCCACAGCAGTTCGTGAGGGCCTGTAATGATAGGACAAGGGGTAATGGTTTCAAGCTAGAAAAGGGTAGATTTAAGTTGGACATTAGGAAAAAGTTGTTTAATATGAGGGCATTGGATCACTGGAACAGGAGGCACAGCGTGCGTGCCTTGGAGCAGCTTTTCCTGTCGTGTTGCACAGAAACGAAGCGCACGTTGGTTCAGCGTGAGGGCTGTTCCGTTCCCTGAGAACTGGAAGGGCCGCAGCCTCAGCAGCTCCGGCCCCGGCTGCACAGCCCTGTCACCGCAGGGTCGTCCCAGGCAGGTGCAGGATCCCTCCCGGCCTGTCTCCCCGGGACCCGCAGGTGTTGTTCTCCCGGGAGCCCCGTGCGCCTTGGACAGCCCGCATCGCTGCAACTGATCCCCCGGTGGGACACGCACACGGAGCGCCTCAAAGCAGGGGGGAACGCGTCTCCGTGCGGGTGTCCGGCTGAAGTGATGCCGCTTCCTCCGCAGGGCTGCCGGGAGGTGGG